ACCAAAGCAAAAATCAATCATGGTTGGTATGGGTAACAAGGATGCCTATGTTGGTGATGAAGCTCAATCAAAGAGAGGTATCTTAACTTTGAAGTATCCAATTGAACACGGTATTGTTACCAATTGGGATGATATGGAAAAGATCTGGCATCACACTTTCTACAATGAATTGAGAGTTGCTCCAGAAGAACACCCAGTCTTGTTGACTGAAGCTCCTTTGAATCCAAAGGCCAATAGAGAAAAGATGACCCAAATTATGTTTGAAACTTTCTCAGTTCCAGCTATGTATGTTGCTATTCAAGCTGTCTTGTCCTTGTATGCTTCTGGTAGAACTACTGGTATTGTTTTGGACTCTGGTGATGGTGTTTCTCACACTGTTCCAATTTATGAAGGTTATGCTTTGCCACACGCCATTTTGAGATTGGATTTGGCTGGTCGTGACTTGACTGATTATTTGATGAAGATTTTGATGGAAAGAGGTTACTCATTCAATACTACTGCTGAAAGAGAAATTGTCAGAGATATTAAGGAAAAGCTCTGTTATATTGCTTTGGACTTTGAAGCTGAAATGAAGGTTGCTGCTGAATCATCATCTGTTGAAAAGTCATACGAATTGCCAGACGGTAATGTTATTACTGTTGGTAACGAAAGATTCAGATGTCCAGAAGTTTTGTTCCAACCAAACTTCATTGGTATGGAAGCTGCTGGTGTTCATGAAACTACTTTCAATTCAATTGGTAAATGTGATATTGATATCAGAAAGGATTTGTATGGTAACGTTGTCTTGTCTGGTGGTACTACTATGTTCGAAGGTATTGCTGAAAGAATGACCAAGGAATTGACTGCTATGGCTCCTGCCTCAATGAAGATTAAGGTTGTTGCTCCACCAGAAAGAAAGTACTCTGTCTGGATTGGTGGTTCCATCTTGGCTTCATTGTCCACTTTCCAACAAATGTGGATCACAAAGGAAGAATATGAGGATGCCGGTCCAGGTATCGTTCACAGAAAGTGTTTCTAAATGATGGCACTTTGTATAGTCAACTGTCGAGCTCTGTAAAAATAAATATGTAATTTAAATGAATTTTTAAAAAAAGACTTGATTTTAGGAATCTCCATGGTTTGTTTGGTGGGCGCATGTTTGAATCTTTTTAAATTGTCGAGTAGTTATAGATTGGGAAGCTAGAAAATATTTAATGGTCAAAAAAATGAACACCTCAAAAGGTTTGGTTCGAGTTGACTTTTTTGGTTATTACTTTGTGAAGATTGATTATCATTGATTGTATTTTTATGATCTATTAATGATGTAAATTTGATAGATATTTAAAGGTCAGGTCGTATCAACTGGAACTGATGGATTAATGTAAAGAAAATTGTCCACTTGTCTCTACTAGGGCAGTAAAATATTTTTACCATTTATTTACAAGATTAGCCACAGATATAATTGTAATCGTGATGCATGTTATTATTTAAATTTTTAATAGCACTTTAGCAAAATTGCTTCCTTTTTCTCTCTTTTCAATGTTGAAATAAACAGGGTCATAAATATAGAGGTTGCTGGAGCAAATGTCAAATAAGAGAAATGGCCGAAACTTAGTAGGCCCAGGCTCAATCCCAATCCCATAGGTATCGAGTATGCCAACTTGTCTGATGATTTGATATGGA